ATAAGTTGCACTGATTTCTGTCTGAACATCCCCGGGGAAGTGGAAACTAATTGAAAGTATCTCCACCCATGACTCAGCAAGGCAGATTGGCCACCCCGCCACGGTTTGCTTCTCTTTTCAGCAGTGCCTCACCTTCCCTCTAGGCTCAAGTGCTTATGCTCATCCAAGAACTCCTCCATTTCCTCTCTGGGATTTGCCACCGTCCCCCTCTTCTCTGATCTCCTATCTTTGGTGGTATTTAAGTGAAGGAAGAAATGCTCCCTCTAATTTCTCTCTAGCCCATTATAACCTGCTATTTTGGGGCAGCTTTTGATGTGTGACATGTCACCCTTCCCAACTTGATCGCCTATAACACTGCTGTCTTCTTACGGAGCCCTCACCACAATCCTGACTCTGGTCATTTGTGCCTTTCTCCTGTCATCTCTGTACACTACTTAATATTCACTGTGGGTTGGGGGGAGCTCATTCTAAGCATGTTCAGTGGCAGCTCCCTGCCAGTTTCAGTGTCACTGTTAACATTTATCCAAAAGCAACTTCACTGGGGGTTTTCTTAAAGGGTAAAGGCCTTTTACTGAAGCTAACCCTTCCCCACATGTGGTAGAATGTGCTGTTCTATATCTACTCAATAAAGCATGTTCTCTGCTTACGTCTGTTTCTCCAGGAGCTCTTATTATGAAGTGGTGCAGCTCACCTGCTACTAATAGGAAATGCACTTGGGGTCTGTTTTCGCTAACGTAAACTATCAAGGGGTGTGGTTTGTGGCTGTGGGATATCTTTTCTCTGTGATGCAGCCGATCTGCAGAGGGTGTGCTTGCTCTGAACTTGTCCAGGTGGTGGAATAAATTCTCTGCCTTACTTTGGTTCCAACTAATAGGTATGTGTAGCAAGGACTAGTCAGTATTAGTCATTTTTTCATTAGCTCATTTTCCTCTGATTTCAAGGGCAAATGAATCAGTAGGAAGTTAGGATAGATGGGCTACAATTAACTGATGCTTGTGGGAAGGTGGGAAGAGGTGTCTCCCTTCCCATCTCCAGCTCATTAGCCAATAGTGAGCTGTATCACCTCTAATCATTGACTCTCGGGTTGCATGATTCCTGAAAGTAGCTTTATTTTCCTGCAGCGTTTACCCAGTGCAGGGAAGGGAGGTTGGGCACCTATCTCTGTGATGGAAAGGAGGAGCGTGGGGTTTGTATTTGCTGGGGTGGTTTTGCTCACCATGGCCAGTAGTGGTGAGAACCCATCCCTGCGGGCAGCTAAGGGTCCTCCTTTGCAAAATTAAGAGTCCTGTGTGCCACTTATGAGGGCTGGAGGGTCGCACAAAGAGAAGCTTAAATAAAATGACGCTTAACATTTTTCTTAGTGTATGATGTGTGCCCAAATCTCACTGTTCTAGATATTTGCATCAAAGGGAAATTATGCTTTCACGTTTTGAGACAATTGAAGTAGGTAATATTGACCATGGGAATAGAACGGTGAGAGGTCAAGGCACTTGAAGCTTTGTGCACAGTCCGGGTCCCCAACCTCTACTGATTGCCACCCCCCTTTCTTTACATAAGGATACAGTAAGTTCTCACTTAACATTATCAATACGTTCTGCGCCTTTAAGTGAAATGATGTTAACAAAACCAGTTGTACCATAGCTAATTGATATAAACAGAGTTAAGTTCCTGCCGCATCTCGTCAACTTCCAACAAAATGACATTGAATGAAATGGTGTTATTGGAGGACCTACTGTAAAAGGATTTCTCTGGTTTAAATCACAAGTATAGGAACAGTGTTAAACTTTCTTGTCAACTTGTAGGAAAACCGTCTATCCCAGGGGTGGGCAAACTTTTTCTGCACGAAAGAATCTCAGCTGCTTAGGCTCCTTCGTTAGAAGAGCAAGTCTGGCGTTATTGCTGGATCTGGCTCCTGACTAATCCTCTCCTAGTTAGATTTCCTTGCTTTAGCCACCGGCTCCCATGCTTCTAGCGGCTTCCACTGCAGAAAAAAATAATGGAACTGGTGAAAACTCTTGGACAAAGGATGTTAGTTGATTCTATAAGCAGCAGGTGGGGGCTAGAGACCTAACCCAGGAAGTAAAAGCTGTGCCCATTCTGGCTCTGCTGCTGATTTAGGAATAAACTGTCTAGTGAGCCCTCCCTTTACATGGTTTCCTTCAGTCCTCACACATCACTGCAAGGTGGGTATTTGGTCCCTTTTCCACGTGAGAAAATTGCAGCTCAGGTCTTGCTGCTGAGATGCAGGAACGGAATGAGAGCCCTGCTTCTCAGATTCAAGTTCCATACTTGACAGTGCTGTCTGGTAGCCTCTGTTCCTGGCTTCCCATTTCTCATCAGGGAGTAGAGTCATTTAATTTTTAACATGGTGTGCCCTTGATATAGCAAGATGATGCTTGGACTTGTCCTCAGCTTTGGTTTATCCCTTTCGTTTTAGGCAGGCCTAGCTGGGGTTAGGAATGTCCTCAAATGAAGTTCAAGGTCAAGATTGAAACTATATATGAAAAGCCAGTATAGGAAAATAGACTACAGCTTGCTTACAGTACACATTCCTCCTGGAATATGAAACAAGTGAGAAGTGGCTTTTTGGATCTAAGTGACTTTCAGGGTGGTCCTAAACACGCCTGCCTGTCTTTGAAGAGCACGTGAGAAGCCAAATGACATTAAAGAGACTTTGTTTATGAGAGGTGCTAAGATCAAGCACCTCAGCTCAGCAGTGATCCTTGCTTTTGAAAATGTAAAATTCACATAATGAAACTGCACACATTCATGTATAGCTGAAAAATTGAGCCCTTGAAGTTCATTCCTGGACGGGGGTTAGGACATAAAGTACTCTGGTTTGAGAAAGCAGGGATCCGGCTTCTGCCTGCCTTCACAAACCGAAAGACACAGCTAGTTCTTGGTGTGTGCAGGCTCAGGTAACCCATTCCGTGAGGGAAAATGACAACTAGGGAGAGGCCTGGCTCGCTGGCTTTGAACATTCGTTTCCTACAGCCTCGCAGGTGCACATATGTACAAAACTCTGTACCGGGGTTTTGCTTATTAATGAAAACTAAATGTGATGTGTGCTAGGAATTCTAGAATTTTAGAAACCATTTTAGCTATGCATTGGGATCATGCAATGACAGTTGGATCTCCACTGGTTTTACCTCAGCACCTTTTGATACAGATTTGTGTGGCATCCTCTTTCAGACTGCTTCCTAGTGTTGGGGGCAGTATAATTGCCTCCTTCCTTTGTGGCATCTTCAACGAATACCAATAAATGTTACTAAGGAAGAAACAGGACTGTCCAGTGATGAATAGTGTCCCTGGTGCTGAAATATCTTGCATCTTGTGCAATACTTTAGATGCAGGTCATGCCACCACTGCTTCGGGGCTTGGGGGTTTGTTTATTTGTGCCCAAGAGGAGAAAATAACCTGTGCCGTTGCACAACTTTGGCTCCATTGCCCTCAGATGATCTGTGTGAGATATAAACACCTTTGTTCTTGACAAACCATGTTCATTCCAAGAAATTCGTCTTAACTGGGTATTTGTTTCTGGGAAGAGCTCACTTTATATTTACTTTGTTCCGATGTTATTAGAAACCTACACTCATCTCACAAAGGAGGTGCAGCACATCACCTCCAGAGATGGCCAGTGTGTCCCGTCTCCTGTGTGGGCTGGACTTCTGACTCATTAAATGTGGCAGAATAGCCCTAGCTGGTTTGGCTCAGTGGATACAACATCAGCCTGTGAACTAAAGGGTCCCAGGTCCCATTCCAGTCAAGGGCACATGCTTGGGTTGTGGGCTCCGGGGGGGGGGGGGGGGGGGGGGCAGCCAATCAGTGATTCTCATTGTGGATGTTTCTCTCCCTCTCCCTTCCTCTCTAAAATCAATAAAAACATTTTTTTTAAAAAATGTGGCAGAATAATATTCTGGCAGCTTCCACTTTTGCTCTTGGAAACCAGCTGACATATTCCCAAACTGGAAGCTTGAGTTGAACTGAATGTTTTGCGAGGGACTAAATAAGAGAGACCACTTGTAGAACTGAATGCTACAGCCAACAGCACCAAAAATTCAAATGAAGTCCTCCCAGCTGAACACAGCCTCCCCTGCTGATACCTTATGGTACAGAAACATCCAGCTGATTCCTGCCAACCTAGAGAATTGTGAGAAACGCTGGTTTAAGCCATTAATGGTCTTCGGATGGTTTGATAACAGCAGTAGGTAAGTCAAAGAAGAGGACTGTTGAAACTAAAGGGCTGGGACTCAGTTTGGCCTTGTCAGTTCCATTAACTGCCTTCCTGTGATTGGAAGCCAGATGTGCCCAGAAAAGGGACACCACCTCGTGTAACTCCAGGGGGCACTATTCATATTCCATTCAATGGCCCTCAGAGCCACTGCAGCCCCTTTGTTCATTCAGCACATCTCAGCGTGTCAGTCAAATTGCTTCTGAGCCCCCTGCCTGGCCTTGGAATTCCTGGCTACCTCCTTGTGGAAGTGGATCAGGAAAAGTGACTGTTCTACTATCAAGACAGGGCTCGTCACTTTCCTGTTCAAGAATTGACCTGGCTTCCCATCGCTCATTGGATTAAGTTCTCATTCTGGCTTTCAGGTTTTCCCCTGAGCTGGCTCAGTCTAACAGTGTTCTTCATCATTCCCCTACACACAGACTCACTGCGCAACCGGATTAGTCTCCAGCCCCTTTCCTGCTTCTACTGGGAAAGCCTCCAGCATCCCTGGAAGTGTGTCCATTAGACACAAAGCAGTACTATCGGCAAAAGGGATACTTGGAAACACTGAGTTGAAGTTGGGTATCAGTATGTTCCTTGTCTCCATGGTTTTTCAAAGCCTCCCTCTTGGGGTTTCCATGAGGAAGAGACAGAATGTAACATTTCCTGGAGTGATCTGATCTGGAAGGAGCCTTTTTTTTTTTTTTTTTGAAGTGATGCGGTTTTTTTTGAGGTGAAATTCACATAACATACAATTAACCATTTTAAAGTGAGCAATTCAGTAGCATTTAGTACATCCCAATGTCGTCCAAGCTTGGCCTCTATCTAGTTCCCAAACATTTTCCTCACTCCCAGGGGGGACCCCGTACTCTTGAATGGGTGTGGAGTTTCCTCTTGGGATATACTTTATTTTTTTTTTAAATATTTTTTTATTGATTTCAGAGAGGGAGAGAGAGACATCAATGATGAGAGAAAATCATTGAGCGGCTGCCTCCTGCACACCCCCTACTGGGGATTGAGCCTGCAACCAGGGCATGTGCCCTGGAAAGAGCCTCTTGAGAGACCAGAATGCTGGGGGTGGGGGTGGGGGTGGGTGGCGGCAGACTTTTGGAACTTAACCTACCTAATCAACCAACTGATCCACACCGGCCAGGGCTCATCTTCCCTTCCTTTTAAATAGCTTAGTGCCACCCTGTCCCCCCAAGAATCAGATCCCCTAAAACATCACCCAGTTCCTTTTTGGAGAGGGACACAGAGATGGTCAATGTTATGTAGCCTAGTGAATTGATGAACCTCCTTTACTGCTGAACCCACAGAGCTCCCCACTCATTCAACACCTTGATGTTTATTACCTAAGTGTGCCCTCTAGGAGCTTACTTTGGTTGATAGGCCCCTTTCTAAGCATCCTGGGGTCCTCTGTCTCACCTGCCTATAAACCAATGGGCAGGGACAATGGTCTCCCCATCAGGCTGGGGCTCCCTGGGGCGGGGGGGGTGGGGGGGGAGTGTTTCACTCCTCTGGAGCTCGTTTGAATGCCTGTGTCCCCATAGCCCAGCAGTTACCCTCCACAAGAGAATGGATGAAGGACCGGGGATCTAATTCTCCAAATCAGAAGACACATGGATTTGGGTCCTTGAGATCATGACTGAGTCGGGAGAGTGTGTCTGCGTTCAGGCTGGGGCTGTTGCCCTTACCTGTGTGGCAAACCTGTTTTCCCATTCAAGGGTGGGGACCAGGGCTGTTAGTATTGCCCTTTGCAATTCTGGGAAAGGCCTCCTGGCCTGCTGATGTGACAAACTGCTGAGCATGGTGCAGAGCCCAGGCCACTTCTGCCTTCTGCCCTGTACTAGAGAAGAAGCCATCACTGTTCATTCATTTATTGAGCCCCTACTATGTTCTGGGCATAGGAGATAGAGAGGGGGGGGGGGGCAGACTCATCCTACACAATGAAATAAGAGTGCTGAGGGAGGACAAGCTCACTCCAGCGTGAGACTGTCAACAGTGCCCATTTATGCACGACCGCTTCTTGAGCCCGAGAGTCCTGGAAGGAGCCCCACGGTGTTCACTGCGAGCCTTGTAGGACATGCCGGTGTTGAGCACAGGACAGACACAGAGAAGAGAGCTGGCCTGGCCGGCTGGTCAGCTGTAGCGTCCAGGTATGGAGAAGGGTTTTCATCCTCTGGGAAGCATGGGATGGGGGCTCTCACTCTGGCCCCTGGTCCTCATCCTCTGCCTGGGAAGAGTTTTGTACATGGACGGTGGTTAAGGGAGGGTTGCCTGGCTCCTCCACCCTTGGAGCCTTCCCTAGTCACTCCACACAAGGCCCTCCATTTGCCTAATTCATGTTTCTGGCTGTAGATATCTAGGGTGACCCAATTACAGACTCGCCTGCCATATCTTCTGTTATTCAGTCGTATGTGCCTCAAGAGCATGGACAGAGCCAACCCTCAGTTACCCTCGTAAAGGAAGGGGAGTGGTAATCCAGGACTTAAAATCCCAAAGGCCCTCCTGGGGGTATGGAAAGTGCCTTGGTCAGGGAAACAGGAGACTCAGCTTTTAGTTCTGGTCTGTTACCGGCTCACTGAAAGGTGACTTAGCATCCTGCCCACATTCTGTGTGAGGGACATTCATTTCCATGTTGGTATTGGGGTGACGCCCATGGCCCTTCAAATGGAATGGCTCCAACACTTAGAAAAAAATCTTGGAGGAAAATAGAAGATTTCCCCCATCTTTTTTTTTTTTTTAAATATATTTTATTGATTTTTTACAGAGAGAAAGGGAGAGGGAAAGGGATAGAGAGTTAGAAACATCGATTCAGCTGCCTCTTGCATACCCCCTACTGGGGATGTGCCTGCAACTAAGGTACATGCCCTTGACCAGAATCGAACCTGGGACCCTTCAGTCCGCAGGCCGACGCTCTATCCACTGAGCCAAACCAGTTAGGGCGATTTCCCTCATCTTTATAGCCAAGAGCCTATGTTGGAAGGAGTAGGTGTTCTGTTAGGAAAGTGAGAGACCTGCTACCTGACTGTGGGAGGGTTTCCACTCTAGGGACCCCAGCCATGGGACCCAGGAGAACAGTGTGGTGTGCCAAGGGTAGCATCATGCCCAGGCCAGGGAGACTAGCTCCGTCTGGGTAGGGCAGGTGGTCAGGAAAGGAGAGATGGGGCTAGAAGTTAAGTCAGCAAGGGCAGCCCCGAAGGATGTGGGTGAGTCAGGGCATTGGTCTTGATCTGAGAGCACTGGGGGTGAGGGGTGGGAAGGTAGAGGGTGGGTAAATGATGGTTATTTTCTTTTGGTTTGGTTTTTCCTTTTCACCAAAGAGTTCTAGGCTGCTCCGATTTGCACTTTTAAGATCCTTGAGGGTGCAAGGTGGGGAATTGATTAGTTTTTCCAATTCTAGGCTTTAGGTAAAAATTCCCCAAGGCAATTTTGAACCTTTGGCAAAACCGAGTTCATCCCGGCTTCCTTATCCCTGCACCTACTCCCTAGGCACGCACAGACCACCAGGTCTGAGGAAACAACCAGGGAGCCGAGCATGTGGCCAAACCACGGCTGGCCCCACCCTTGGCAATGCCAGCCTGGCATGTGTGCCCCTGGCCAGAGATCCTCCCCCACCTCCCTGACTTGTTAGAGGCCAGGATGACTCAACCCTCCCCAGGGAGCACGTTGAGGGCAAGGTCTGGCCAACACTCACCCATTTTTCTCTTTGGTTGGAAAGGAGGTATTCCTGGAAAAAAGGAAAGAAGGAATGAGGGCTGCACCGCTTCCCTGGGGGCTGGGTGAGGTGGGAAGGGCTCATGGCTCTTTGGGGCTCGATGCCTGTGTTGGGTCTTCAGTGGAACTGCAGACACTCCCCACTGTCCTCGTGTGGCTGAGCTGCTTGGCTGTTCCTGCGGGAGGCAGAGTGGAGGAGTGAGAAGCCATTGGCACCTGGCACCGCCTGGGCATCTGTGCAAAAACATTGAACTTATCTGAACCTTAGTTTCCTCACTCATGCTGAAGGGAATATTGTGAGATTTAATCACATGTGAGCATAGTAGGTGCTCAATAAATATTTCTCTTATACTCCTATCCCCTGCTTCCCATGGGTTGTTGGATTTGGAAGAGAACTCTGAAATGGTCTAAAATTCATTTTGTTGAGGAGGAAACTAAGGCTAAAAGTGTTTGGTAACAAGTTGGTTTTCTCTATTTTTATATTTTTTATTATAAAAGCAGTCTTTGAATACTTGCCCACTATAAAAAGAATTATGTAATGGAGAGGCTTGTACAGTAAAAATTCAAGTCCCTCTCTACTCTCTCTCCCTCATCTCTACTTCCTGTCCTAGATATATATCATTACTGTTGACAATTTGATAATCATCCTCCTAGAATGTTCCCTATGCATGTGTATGTATGTTTGTGAGTATGTCATTTTTAAAAAAATAAGTAGATTCCTGTGATACATGTTGTTATATAACTTGCTTTTTCCACTTACCCAGTATCTTGGAGAACTTTCTGTAACTTTCCACAGATCTGCCTCATCCTTTTCAATGGCCACAAAGGCTATATATGGATGTGCCTAATATATTTTGACCAGGAAGCTAGGGTTCTGGCTCAGGAAATCTGGCTCCAGAGGATGCAAAGCATTTGCCTCTACCCTTAGGGTGACTATATTCTCCTTCTGAAGGCTTTTATGTTATTTCTAAATTCTTGCCATTGCAGACATGTTGTCAATGAATGCTCAGGTACAACCTCAGGGCTACGTATTTCTACTTGATAGATTCCCTGATGCACATTCCAACTTTGAGGACTATTGTCAACATTTCCTCTAAATCAGTGGTTCTCAACCTTCCTAATGCCGCGACCCTTTAATACAGTTCCTCATGTTGTGGTGACCCCCAATTTCATTGTTACAAATTGAACATAATTAAAGCATAGTGATTAATCACAAAAACAGTATGTAATTATATATGTCTATGTGTTTTCCAATGGTCTTAGGCGACCCCTGTGAAAGGGTCATTCGACCCCCAAAGGGGTCACGACCCACAGGTTGAGAACCGCTGCTCTAAATAAACAGGTTATAAAAGTGCTAGGTCTTTCATACCCTCACCAATATACATGTAATGTTAACAATAAGAAAAAAACCTGCTCTCTGTCCAGACTAAAATTCTTGTCCCCCCAGGACATGACTCCCACATTGAGGGCCCTCTCAGGGAACAGGTTCATTTTAATAACTCGATTGGAGCCTGGCCAGCGTGGCTCAGTGGTTGAGCATCAACCTATGAACCAGGAGGCCACGGTTCAATTCCCGGTCAGGGCATATGCCAGGGTTGCTGGCTCGATCCCCAGCATGGGGTGTGTAAGAGGCAGCCGATCAATGGTTCTCTCTCATCATTGATGTTTCTATCTCTCTCTCCCTCTCCCTTCCTCTCTGAAAACAATAAAAATATTTTTTAAAAAATTAATTCTATTGGAAACAAATAGAACTAGAAAGCTTGGACTGTGGCTTGGGTCACATCTAGTCGCTGATCTGTAGCTCCAAACCCATCCACAGTATCAAAGGTAATGACACCAGAGGGTGCAAAACATTGACCTCTACTCTTAGGGTGCCTACATTCCCATATGCCAGAGCCATCCCAAGTTTACCTGGTGTAGTTAACACCTCTAGTATCCTGGTTTGGATCATTTATGTGGACACCTACCCCACCCCATCGCATGAGCGACCCCTACTGGCCTGGAAGCTAGGAGCCGGCTTGGTGAAACGACCCACTCAGAATCGCTCCTCCAGGGGCTGCCCACCTTTGTCACTCACCTCCCGCCTGCTTTCCCATCAGCGGAAAGAACTGGCTGGCTTTGTCCCTCTTCACCTCCTGAAGCTGGAGCTGAATGCTGGGGACAACACCTTCCTGAAAAGGCAGAGAGTTTGTTAGAGCGAGAGGAAGGCTGGCGGGGAGTCAGGGAGGGCAGCCTAAGCAATAACAGTTTCAGTGACATTTGCTCTGTGCTGGCCCGGGGCTCTTTTGTATGTATTACACAATGTTATGCAGTAATAATTTATAGTCAGCGTTTCACCTACTGTGTTCCTGGCTCTGTTCTAAGCACTTTAACATTAATTCTCTTTGATCCTCACCAAAACACCATGATGTAAGGACTATTATTGCACCATTTCATTTTTTAAAATATATTTTTATTGATTTCAGAGGGGAAGGGAGAGGGAGAGATAGAAACATCAATGATGAGAGAGAATCCTTGATCAGCTGCCTCCTGCACGCCCCATCCTGGGGATGGAGCCTGCAATCAGGCATGTGTCCTGACCAGGAATTGAACCATGACCTCCTAGTTCATAGATCCACGCTCAACCACTGAGCCATGCCAGCCGGGCATTGTCACCATGTTACAGATGAAAGCGCAGAGAGATTAAGTCATTTGTCCAAGGTCACCAGCTAGGAAGTGAGAGCGGCTCCAGGACTTGAAGCCGTCACCTGCCTCAGAGGCTCAAACACAACAGCATAATTTCGTTTACTCTTCACAGCCACCATATGAAGTAGGGACTATGAGTAATTCCCATTTTGTAGATGGAGGTAAAGTGATTTGTCCAAGATCACACAGGAAGTGGTAGAGCCAGGATTTAAACTCAGGCAGTCTGGCTGCAGAGCCTGGATTCTGCTCCACCTGGGGGCATGTCCCCAACATAGACAAGGAGGGGCCGCTGAGGGACTCAGGGTGAGCACCCCGTAGGCAAGGTGAGACTGCTTCCGCTCCCAACCCCAACCTGGTCTCCTTTCTTCCTCGGCAATCCCCCCCACCCCCACCCCGCCCTTGCCCCAGATTCACCCTGCCCTGGAGCCTGGGCCTCCCATGAGGAACGTGGCCTGTGGCCTGGAGTAGAAGCCACTACTTTGGGCAAAGACATTTTCTTGAGCTAATGCAGTGAAAGTTCTGGACCAGGGGCTATGGATTGAAGTCATTCCTCCATTAGCCTTGACCAAATTCTCTCCTGTGGCCCCTGCTAAGAGGGGGAGAGGCTCACTGGTGGGAGAGTGACAGTGGGTGACATTCATTAGACCTTCTTCATGTCTCTGCATCCCTGGTGCCTGGCACAGCGCCTGGCAGACAGAAGCTCAGCCCGTGTGGGTTGAAGAACGCTGAACAAGGGCCTTTCTCTGACAGTGGGAAGAGGGAAGAGGATGGGGTCTCCTTTTCCAGGAAGGCTGAAGACAGGACGAGCGAGCAAAGTGATGAAGCACCTGCCAGGAGGCTGGGAGCCGGGGGGGGGGGGGGGGGGCTCCCTCTTCCATCCCCAGTTTCCCCAGGGGCAGCGCTGACGCTCCAGGAACCAGCAGGGACCTGGCTGGGGTGCAGAAAACCCCTATTCCTCACATAGTTTGTTTCGTCCCAACTTTTAGGACCAGAAGTGGATTTTCTTCTAAGACGTGGACCAATTCAGTCCCTTCCCATCTGTCTCCTCCCCCGGACGTCAGTGGCTGGGGCAGCTTCTCGGCTGGAGTCGCCTGGCCTGGCCAGGAACCAGAATAGTCTCTCGGGAGATTTGGAGCCATTTCTGGAAAGCTCATGAAAACCACTGTGCCCTGGTAAGAGGCGGCCATCGAATACAAGTTGGGGAGAAGGGCTATTTATAAACTAAATAACGCTCACCTTTCCCTCACCCGCTGGGTTTCGGGGGGGGGGGGGTTCCTAGGAGGCATCCTTCTTTTTCACTCGGGAAGGACTCCTGCCCCCCTCTAAGCCCTCTCCTTATCTGTTCCAGCGGTTCTCAACCTGTGGGTCGCGAACAATGAAAATACATCCTGCATATCAGATATTTACATTACGATTCATAACTGTAGCAACATTACAGTGATGAAGTAACAACGAAAATAATTTTATGGTTGGGGGTCACCACAACATAAGGAACTGTATTAAAGGGTCGCGGCTTTAGGAAGGTTGAGAACCACTGAAACCCATAGGCATGTGTCCCTTTAGAGCTCAGTCAGGCCAGGGGCCATGGCCTTGAACCTACCTACAGAGGGGAATCGACCACCTGCCTTGCAGTGACAGCCTGCTCTCCCCTCAACCACAGATCACCCCCTGCCTTTCCCCAAAGTTACCTCCAGGGTCTCGGTTACCAAAGACCCTGCTTCAGTGCCACCAGGTGCCAGTTTCTTGTCACCTGCCACAGTGGGGGCAGACAGCCACGTCAGGAGAAGCAGGGCGAGGCAGAGCGGCATGGTGAGTGCGGCTCTGTGCTGGGACCCTCTGGGAGTCCCTCTCAGCCTGCAGGGCTGCCTCCAGCAGGCCAGTCCTCCCTCTGGCTCCTTTGTAGGTGAGGGAGGCTCCACCTGTTCCTCGTCCTTCGAGCTACCCCGCTTCTTCCTCCAGCTTATCTGCCCTCCCAGGGACATTTCCTGTGACTCCCCTCCCTCCCAGCTGGAAAGGCCAATGATATCAGAGGAGGGACCAGCCCCCTTGCACCACCGCCCCCAGCACCTGATCCCAGGCTTAGCGCTTTGATGCAACAGCCGCCTCACCCTCACTGTTGGCTGCTTTCCCTCTGGCGGCAGGTGCACAAGGGGCCAGTGTGTGGGACCTGTGCTTCCAGCTTCCTGACTGCAAGCCCCGGGGCCTTGTCACCTTGGAAATGGGAGGGGAACTGGATGGCTCCTCCCTTCCAGGTGCTCTGCCCCACCCTGAGAGAGGCCTCTCCCCGGAACTTAGCTAGTGTCCCACCACTGTCTCCCCACTTCCTCAGTGTTCCCTCTGCCAATAGTCCCATGTGCACACAGGAACACGGGTCTTGCCCTGAGAGAAATAACACAGTGCTTAGCGAAATGAGGCTCCTCAGAAGTGGGAACTGGGATTTGCCAGAGAAATGGCTTCCTGCTCGTGTCATCGGCTCTAAGCTACCTTCCCACTGTTGCCAAAGTGATCTTTCTAAAGCCCTACCCCAGCTGTTCCTCCCTGCTCACATACTTCCAACGTCTCCCCATTGCCCTCGGCATAAAGTTCAAGTTCCCTAATATGGCACTCAAGGCCCTTCTTCACTTAGTTCTGCCCATCCATCCATCCATCCATCCATCCATCCATCCGTGTAGAACAAGGGACCTGCAGTCAGAGAGACCTGAATTCCAGTCCTAGCTCCCCCACTCAGTAGCTGTGTGACCTTAGGCACATTACTTAGCCCCTTCAAACCTTAGAATCCTCATCTGTAAAACAAGATTAATAATAGCACTTATTTCCCAAGTTGTTCGAGGATGAAACGAGATAATGCATGTGAAGCACTTAGCACAGTGTGTGATGGTAAATATTTAATACCTGTTAACTATTATTACTGTTGTAATTATGGACACTGGGCGAGGCACTCGGCCGCAGAAGAGGAATAAGCCGCCTTCTCTGTCCTACAGCATCTCGCAGGCCAGGAGAGGGACCCTCTGGTTGGCAGCTAAGCTGTGTTCAGTTAGTGCTGGCACAGAGATGGGAGCCGGGAAGGGTGTGTCCCCTCCCGTTTGCCTCAGAGCCATTCCCTGCCACGGGACAGGTTAAGTTCTCACCCCCACGCTTTGGCCTTGGCTATTGCCTCTGCCTGGACCTCCCTTTCCACCTGGTGAACTCCCACCCATCCTTAAAGGTCCAGCTTATGGCCACCTCCTCAGTAGGGTTTTTCTGCCTCTATTCCTAACTCCTGCAAGGATTATTTGGCCCCTTTCCTGGGCGTTCCCAAGTAGCTCTGATTTGTATATACCTCGAAGCTCTCCTTCACTCTCAGGCTGTGTCCTGAGCAGAGGTAGGTGCCAAGAACAAGAATGGAGGCAAAACCAGCCCCTGCTCGGCTCACGGAGCTGCACAGCCTGGTGCCAGCCTGCAGGCCCCTGGAAGAAGGTGCTTTGCTCTATTTCTCCCAGAGGGCCAGCGGGTCTGCCAGATGGGGAGGTGATCATGCCAAGAGCTCTCTGAGAGTGGGCTGTCATACATGTGTACCTGGCACACAGTAGGTCCTTCCTTAAACATGCAGTCTTTCTGAGCTCAGGCCAGTGAAGGCAGCGATGAATAAGGGCAAGTGTGGAGGTCTGAGGGCGGATACCCATACACACACCTCCTTCCTCCCTTCCAGGAATTTCTTGGGGGGATCCCAAACCTGATGGCTGCATTTGCTAAATTGCAGATCCCCCGGCCTGGCCCTACTCGGACACAGCCAGGCCTGGCCTGTGGGTCTGTCTCAACATTCCAGGGGACAGCCACTCCGCCTCCCATAGCACTTCCCACATTCCACTTGGATGGTTTTACTTTTCATCACCTTTATTTTACAGATGTGGACACAGGGCAGGCTGGGCTGGCTCTAGGTTACACTGAGAATTGGTGGCAGACTAGAGGCCCCAGTGGGCGGCTTCCCACCCTCCACTGAGGCCGCTGTCCACAAGAGCAAGCAACACAGGGCAGAGTAACAGCCTTAGTCTCTGCTGGGGGAGATGGCTACATGTCCAAACCGGTAACCTTGGCACCCAAGGAGCATCTCTGAGCCTGTTGCTCCATTTGCAAATTGGGGCCACCCTTCATTGGGTGGTGGTCAAGATTTCATGAATTCTCACCCTTAAAGAACTCAGCACAGGGCACAGAGTATGTGCTCAATTAATCCTCACTTCATGCTTGTGATTATTTGACCTCTGGAACCCTGGGCCTCAGAGCCGGTTTCCTGGCCCCGCCAGCGCAGGAACCATCCCGCGTGGGGACAGGATGTGGTGGGTGCACAGCGGGGAGGTGGCAGGGGCCTTGGGGCTGAGGAAAGGGAGGCGGGAAGAAGGGAGAGAAAATCCCAAAGA